AGTAAACACTATAGAGGTAGAGGGTGAAGGTCCTGGTACAATGAAGTATTTTCCTAGATGAAATATTTCCCAGGCAGACTGGACTCTGGATTGGTCTTTCATTGGACCTCACAGAAATCTCCAGGACTTTGTATTATTATATTTCTCTTGCATTCCTTAGAATAAAGGTTGTAAAAGAGTTGGGGGCCCTGTCTGGCTCAGTTGTGGAAGCATGAGACTCTTGATCTTGGGGTTGTGAGTTTGAGCCCCACGTTGGGTGCAGAGCCTACTTAAAAAAAAAAAAAGTTGTAAGAGAGTTAGGATCATCAACCTTGAGGGCTGTACGGAGCTGAAGAAGCCAAGAGTTTTCTTTTGAAGAGTATCTGGGCTTGAGAAGCTGAAGGCTTTGGATGAATATTCTTGCTCAGGTACTTAACTGAAAAACAGTGTGAATGCTCAACAGATAAACTGAGGCCTGTGCATCTACATGTGACTTTACCCATAGGTAGTCATCCTGAGAGCCTGAACCCTTATTCAATGGAATCATTCCTGCTGACCGTTGGAGCTTATCTTTGGAAATTACCTTCATAGTTGACAGTTGGATCCAACTTTTCAGTTGGATTTGCCACACAAAGGAGTGTCTGTTCTGCATCAGGTTTTATGCTAGGCTCTGGAGATTTGAAGATGATCAAGATGCAGTCTTTGTCCCTTAGACCTAGGAGTGGGGATGGGGGACACAGAGAGGGAGGGACTGAAGGAAATAGAAACATAATGAACTATAATTACAAAACTAATGATATAAAGCAGGTATAGACAAAGTGAAAAAAGTCCCCCTTTGGGGGACCATCAAAGAAGGATAGAAGTTTGATTAAGGAAAAAGGTGGTAGGGGCGCCTGGGTGGCTCAGTCGTTAAGCGTCTGCCTTCGGCTCAGGTCATGATCCCAGAGTCCTGGGATCGAGCCCCGCATCGGGCTCCCTGCTCAGCAGGAAGCCTGCTTCTCCCTCTCCCACTCCTCCTGCTTATGTTCCCTCTCTTGCTGTCTCTATCAAATAAATAAATAAAATCTTTAAAAAAATGTTAAAAAAAGGTGGTAAGGATCTTAAACACAGAATAGCTTGAGACATGAATGTCAGGATGCAAGAAGATGAATGTGTGCAGCAGAAACAGAAAATAGATCAAGATATGATTAAAGCATCTCTTTGTAACAGATGATGAGAAATAAAGTTCTTTGGGTCCACCTTGTAGAGGGCCATTCATTCCTTTAATAAATGTTTGCTGAAGGACTACAGTAGGCCAGGGACCTGCCTTGGTTCCCCTAGTACTTTGGAGCTGACAATAGCCGACTTTAATGATGTGTGAGGAGTTTGCATTCCTGCCTCGGGACCTTTGCACATGTCTTCCCCCCACCCCATCCCAGTCTCCAATGTTATCCTTCCCTCCTTCTCTTTGCCTGGTTAATTCATATTTGTCCTTCAGAGCTAAGCTTGAAAATTATTTCCTTAAGGAATACTTGTTTGCCCTTCTCCACCCCCATTTTCCTAGTTATGAACTTGATTTCTCCTTCATACCACTTGCTCCCATTATATTATTGTTTAATATCTATGTTAAATCTGGGGCACCTGGGTGGCTCAGTCGGTCTAAGCGTCTGCCTTCGGACGTCAGGCTCTCTGCTCAGTGGAGAGCCTGCTTCTCCCTCTCCCTCTGCCTGCCACTTCCCCTCCTTATGTTCTCTCTCTCTGTCAAAAAAATAAATAAAATCTTTAAAAAATATATCTAGGTTAAGTCTCTTTCTCATTTGCTGCTCTTTCCCCAGAACAGTGTTAGACACATAGTTGGCATGGAATTAATATTTGCTGCAAGAATGACTAAGGTGTGTCTGTTGAATTTAGCAATAAGCGGTCACTTTGGCCCTTGGTGAGACAGTTTCAGAGAAATGGTGGGGGTGGAAGTCAAGGAAGTGAGGAAATGAGGGCAGTGATGTGTAGATAACTTTTTAATATGTGTGGCTGTGAAGGGAAGAAGGGTGGTAGCTGGAGCAGAAAACAGGGTCCAGATTTTTTTTTTAATGGGAAAGACTTGAACTAATGTAAATGATAATTGGAAGGAGCCAATGGAGAAGGGAGTAGTGGTAGAGATAATGGAAAGTGCACATCTTCTGAGAGGTGGGATAGGATAGAATCTAGGAGTGCCATGGTAAACAGTTGAGCCTTTCTTCTGTAGACACTGGGGAGTCTGGGTAAGCCAGTTAAGACTGGGAAAAGAAGCCAAAGACCTGAACTCAGGCTGTGGTGAAGGACAGGGAAGGATTGGAGAGACATTTGGAAGGTGGAACCAGGTGGATATGAGAGAAGGGAGTAGGGCTGTTGATTTTGTGCCTCTAGAGCCTAGCACAGAGCAGGTGCTAAATAAGTGTTGATTGGATGGCTTCGGGTTTCTCAAGACTGGAGAAAGGGCAGGCTCTGGAGGGTATGTCAATAAAAAGTCATCTTGAGTATCCTCATAGGGGAAAGTCCTGATTATTTTTGAATTTTATAAACAGCCAGAAGTTATTCAGGGCCAAGATGCTGAATTGTTGAGTAAGTGGGTGGTCAATTTAGAGACCATTCCTTTGGGTTAAAAAGGAAAAATAAGAAACAAGATGTGGCTTAAAATAATGAGATTTGCTGGGGGTAGGACACAGCAGTTCAAAAACTGACCTAAAAGCCCTTCCCTTTAAGAGTTCCAAAAATGTTTCAAACCTGGCAGATTCATTTGGATGTCTGTCTTCATTGAAAACCTTCTTATGGGGGCGTCTGGGTGGCTCAGTCGGTTAAGTGTCTGCCTTTGGCTCAGGTCATGATCCCAGGGTCCTGGGATTGAGCCCTACATCGGGCTCCCTGCTCAGCAGGGGAGTCTGCTTCTCCCTCTCTCTCTGTCCCTACCCATTCCACTCATGTTCTCTCTTGATCGCTCTGCTCTCTCTCTCAAATAAATATCTTTTTTTAAAAGATTTTATTTATTTATTTGACAGAGAGATAGCGAGAGCAGGAATACAAGCAGGGGGAGTGGGAGAGGGAGAAGCAGGCTTCCTGCCGAGCAGGGAGCCCGATGTGGGTGGGACTCAATCCCAGGACCCTGGGATCATGACCTGAGCCAAAGGCAGACGCTTAACGACTGAGCCACCCAGGCACCCAATAAATAATCTTTAAAAAGAAAAGAAAACCTTACTAATTCATTGCTTGCCCACTATCCATAACCCAATTTGAATAAGTTTCTCAGACTTTGTGCCTTGGGGTTTGTGAGGATAATAGTGCATTCTCTGGGTCACTACCACCTAAAAAACCAAAAAGGCCCCTCTTGAGAGTCCGAGAATTTTTAGATTCATGTGGTGATATGTCCTATCACTGTGGAACTGGAGGAGAGGAGCAGGTGGGTCAAGGTTTTAAAGCCTTCTTGTTTAACTCTCCTCTGGGGTATGAGGACAGCTGCCTGTGTCCGGGCTGCCCCAGAATGCTGCTAAGCAATCTTGAAGTGTCCGGAGCTGAGCATTGTCTATTCATTACCCCTGTGCCTGTGAAACAGGGTTCAGTGACTGTCACTGTGCCTGTGGCAGTCTGGAGTTACCCAGAGAGAACAAAGCTGCATACACGGAGCATACAAGGGAGTCTTGTAACAACCTTGTCCTGCTTTCTAGGGCTGAGTCAGGTACCACAGCTTGATCTCAGCTGCCTTCTTTATTTCAAGAAGTTGGCATCTGAGCCACAGCAGGAGTGTTGTGTTTTGTCCCTTTTGGAGGGACATTGATTCACTCTGTGTTATTGCCTATGCTAATCTCTCAGCCTACACAGCCCTTCTCCATCCTTTCTCTGGCAAACCTTCCCCATCCTTCAAGGTTTAGCTCAAGTATTAGCTTCCCTTACAAAGACTTTCCTGACTTCCCTAAATGGAATGAGCAGGAATCAACGTGGTGGAGTGAGTGGAAAGAGCATGGACTTCAGGACGAGTTGGGCCTGAGTTGGAATGCTGAATCTGCTGCTTGGCCTGACGCCCCCTAGCCCCGGGTTTCAGTTCTCCCACCCCTTAAATGAATTTAATACCTGTTTCACAGGATTGTTTTGAGAATTACATGAGACTGGGTCTCTGAAAGCACCTAGCACAAGCCTTGGTATATAGGAGGTGTTCATTAAATGTTCTTTCCCTTCTATACCCATAACTTCTGGAAGAAGAATTCTTTTTCAGTGGATTTGCTCCTTGAAGAGCAGAGATGATGTTTTGTTTTTGTTTTTTAAGATTTTATTTGTTTTTTGACAGAGAGACAGCGAGAGAGGGAACCACAAGCAGGGGGAGTGGGAGAGGGAGAAGCAGGCTTCCCACTGAGCAGGGAGCCCCATGGGGGGCTCAATCCCAGGACCCTGGGATCATGACCTGAGCCAAAGGCAGACACTTAACGACTGAGCCACCCAGGTGCCCCAAGAGCAGAGATGATGTTATCCAGCAGTCTCCAACATAGAGCTTGGAGAGGTCCCATGGGCCCATGATGTTGGTTGAACGAATGAGCTCTTGCACTCAGTGATGGAATATCTATACAACGAGGACTTTTGAGGAATAGGAAAAGGCAATAACACATTCAACCCAGAGAAGTTTTTCTGGGTGCTGGCTGGGAATAGTCACAGGAAAGGCTGACCCTGAAAAGAAAGAGACCTTGTTCATTTCATCTACTCAGAGCTATAATAAGCAAGGGCTGAAATTCTAGGGAAAGGCAGGTTTTGTTTCATTGGAAAAAGGAACAATCAGAACCATTTCTAAAAAATGGAATGAGACTCAACTTTTGAGGCCATGAATTCCCTGTCCCTGGGGAGATGAGCAAGCTGGATAAGTGCTTACCAGAGATCTTGTGGAGGAGGGAATTGTGCATTTATCAGAGCACTGGCCAGCCCTTTCATTGTAGGTCCGTTAACTCAGTCTAATTCTGCACGATAGGAGCCCCGTCCCTGTACATCCTGCTACTTTGGGCCTCTAAACTCCCTGGTTTTGTGTGCAGGGGAAGATACCTGGAAGTGTCAGGGCTGTGGGGACCATGTCGCTCCAAGCCAGAGGCGGTACAGGACTGTCAACGAAGCCTGGCACAGCTCTTGCTTCCGGTAAGTGGGTCTGTCCTCCTGTCTTTGTCAGTATACTACAGGCCAGCCACTCCTTCATGTTCTGGAAAATACAAAAGTTTCTGACTTGACAGTTCCCATTTTGGTGTGGGTTGAGGGGAGGGGGAGGGATGTGCCAAGGAAGAGAACATGAGCCAATATCAGGTGTGAGAGTGAAAGAGCCACAAATGGGCCAGGTACAGCTAGAAGTAGGGTGAAGGGATGAGAGAAGCCCTTTCCGGGGTGTCTCAGCACCACCCTCGTTTTACAGATGAGGAAACTGAGACCCAGAAAGAATGACTTTCCTGCAGCTACACTACTGATTATGCAGGTGCCTTAAGGGTTGTTTTTAGTGCAGTGGCAGAGCCAGCCCTTCACCACAGGATGCTTCCCTAGTTTCTTGCTTTTTGTTATCTAATTTTATTTTAGCTCATAGATTGTTTGAAGGCAGCTCAGTTTCTTAAAAATAACAACAGAGACTTTAAAGTTGGATTTGTTCCTGTTGTCTAAGACTCAGTTTCCTCATCAGGAAAACACAGATGTTAAAAATTTATCTCATAGACTTGTTAAGATCGAGTGAAATCATATATGCCAAGGGCCCAGCTCATGATAGGCATCCACTGAAGGGTTATTTCTTTCCCCTGTGAGATTGGAATCTTCAAGAGTGGGAGCTTGTCTGCATTCTCCAGAACATAAAACAGTGCCTGGCCTACAGTCATTCCACATTGGAGGCTGGGTGGGCATGTGTGGCCCCGTGGTCTGAAGTGGTAGGGCTGGTGCTCACATCTTGAGAATGAGACAGACTGTAGACAGGCACCATGTGCTCTAGATTCCAGCTCCCACACACAGCTCGTGTTGCAAAGCATCCCCCGTGCTGATATCAAGTAATTTAATTGACCTTTAAGCACTTGCCTCCACCCAGGAACCATGTGGGGAGTTGTCCTGGAGAGCTCTGGCCTCTGGAAGAGCTGGAGAGGAACTAGCATTTTTCTGCCCTTTCAGCTCTCAGAGTCTCCAGTCTTCTCTGTGGATCTAATTGCCTTAGTTCTTCCTTTTACCCTCAGAGAAGTTGATTCTTTTTTTTTTTTTTTTAAAGATTTTATTTGTCAGAGAGAGAGCACGCACAAGCAGGGGGAGCACCAGGCAGAGGGAGAAGCGGGCTCCCAGCTGAGCAAGGAGCCCAATGCGGGACTCGATTCCAGGACCCTGGGATCATGACCTGAGCCTAAGGGAGAGGCTTAACCAACTGAGCACCCCAGGCGTCCCAAGGGAAGTTGATTCTTATTAAGGATTAGAGCAGAGTGTCAGAGCTATAAGGGACCTACAGACAAAGCCTTTGGCTAGCCCTTTCATTTAGAGGTGATGTGAATCCTAATGAGTTGCTAGACCAAGGCTCGCCTTGGCACCTAACCCATATGGTCATATTTATTCCTGCTGTTATCCTATTTGTGTTAATATTTTCTATCCAAAATAAGCAGGATAGGGTAGAACAAGCTAATTTTTAGAATTTCTGGATTCTCCTAACACTAAAGAAGTTCAGAACCAGAAGGGACCACCTATTGTGTGATATAACCCTTCATATCACGGTTGAGAGGCCTGAAACCAAAAAGAGAAAAAGAGTTACAAAGACAGGTCATAGATGACCAGAGCTGACCTTAGAACTGAAGTCTTAGGTCATTTGTGGGTCCGATCAGATGTTAGCTTGTTAGGGAACATATTTGTGTGTGCGTGTGCGTGTGTCAGAGTGGGGGGGGGTAGAGAGGAAAACATACGCATATATACATGCTCAGAAAGAAGTAAGGCACGTTATCATGGTGGGTGAGTGCAGACTCTGGAATGAGACTGTCTGGTTTCAAATCCTGGCTTTGCAATTTATTAACTGTTCTTGGGTGACTGCCCTGAGCTTTAGGTACCTCATCTGTAAAATGGGGATAAGTACTCATCCCACAGGTTGCTAGGGAGGATTAAATGTGATAACCTATATAAAGTGCTCAGTATAGCATCTGACACATAGAATACCCATAATATTCAGTAGCTGTCACTTTATATTATATTGTATGTCTCTGTACACCTACGTGCATGCATTTATTTCTCTTAATACACACCCATTGGTGTTCTAATGTGGAGCCTCAGAGATTAAGGTTAACTTTGAACTACCCTGGCACAGTTACACCAAAGATCACGCCTGTGGGGGAAGTAGAGCATCTGGGGTAAGTCTCCTATTTACGGCTTTGTCTCAAGGACATAGTCTCTCTGATCCAGCTCTATTGAAGGAGCACATTTCCTGACTCCTGAGCTTTCCCACAAAAGCTGGATGACATGAAGTCCTCAGATGGAGCCTAGTAATTTGCCCTGGGGAAACTGGCTGCTTTGGAGCCAGCTGACTTTTGCCCAGGTTGGAGGAAGATCTTCAGGGCTGGGAACAACTGTATCTGACCCCAGAAGTAACCCGGTTATAAGGAGTATGGGGCATCAGCCTGAATAGTCCTTTAAATTCTCTGATGAATTCAGTGTCTGGGCACAGGCCTGCTGAAAGCAGGACCCTTTCTCCATGCTACTCAAAGAAATTAATTCTTCATGACTCCCTTCCAGCCTTGCTCTTACTCAGTTGAGTTAGTTACAATAAAGGAAATGACTTTTCTTTTCCCCTTCCCCCACACCTTTGTTTTCCTAGTCACAGGGTGGAGCTGGATATTCAATGGAGAAATTGCTGGGGTTTGGCCCAAACTCTCCTCCCTTGGCCTTCTCCTTACATTACCCCATCCCCCCATCTGCGGCCACATCCGTAATCCTGCCTCTGATAGACTTCCGCCAGATTCTCAGGTGCCTGGGACAATAGGAAGTCACTGAAGGCTGGAACCTGGGACTGTACAGCAGAGGCCAACTGACAAACCTCCTGGAAGTAACTTAGTTTGGTGCAATTGGGCGCCTGGCCAGGATCCTTCTAATCCTGGACACTTGCTGTGTAGCCCTCCTGCTTCCTCTCCTCAGACTTCCCAACAGGCCTATTTGGTCTCTAGCAGTGCCACTGGTTCTAGAATTAGAGCCATTCTCTTTGAAGCTCTCTGGAACTGGCTTCCCTCTCCATGGAGGAGGCCAGGAAAGCAGCCAGACTGCATGTTGCTTGTAGCTGAGGTTAAAGTATGGAGCTGGCATGTTTTATGGTGACTTGACATGTTGGAAAACCAAAGAACCTTGACAACTTTTCTGATGATTGTCCTTTCGCCCTCATTAGAAATGCTTAGCCAAGGAGGACAGGTTGTGGAAAGAGGGAAAACTGCCTCTATTAATTCGTCTTTTTTGCCCTTACCTGGGACTCTCTTGCTTGACCTGGTTCCTAAGGGATATTCAGAGGGGGAAAAAATCATCATACTTAAGGCTCCTGGGAATTCTTCAGGGCCTCTTTTCCCAGGATCACGAACACAGACTCTTTGAGCTTTCTCTTTTGAGAAGTGATTTCTAATGCCTATGCTCTGGAAAAGGAATAATACAAATATAAAGCTGTTGTCACTTTATCAGGTAACAGAACATTTCTGCTAAATTTGTGCCTCCAGGTTAGGTGAGTGAAGAAATTGTACACATAGCAGCCAGAGACTGTGGTGTAATGGGCTGGATGACAACAGGGTAGCTTCTGTGATGCTAAAAGCCATGCTCGTTTTCTCATCCACACCCCCATCTTAACAAGTGCAGTGCAACATAATTATAGTAAGAGCTACCGTTTATTGAGTGTTTACTATGTACCAGACACCATCCTAAGCATTTCATATTTGTATCATCTAACTTAATTCTTTCTTTTTAAAGACTGATTTATTTATTTCAGCGAGAGAAAGAGACAGCGGGGGCAGAAGGAGAGGGAAAGGGAGAAGCTCAGCGGGGAGCCTGATGTGGGGCTCCATCTCACAACCCATGAGATCATGACCTGAGCCAAAACCAAGAGTCACATACTTAACCGACTGAGCCACCTAGGAGCTCCATCTAACTTAATTCTTATAACAATATATAACAATATAATAATTATAGTACTGGTCATACCTATTTTACACATAAAGAAATGAAGTTCACTTGCTCACAGTCACAGAGCTAGTAAGTAGCATAGCTGAGATTTGAACCCAGGCATTCGTGACTCCTTGCTTACAAGAGTCTCTTTGCATTCCTCAACATGGTCATGTCATTTAACCTTCCTGAAGCTCAGTTTCCTCTTCTGTAGCTTCATAGTGAAAACACTCATCCTGCCTGCCACACACTGGTGGTGTCAGATAACACTGAAGGGTATTGGTTCAAAGGCTTTATGAACTCTCAAGTGTCAAATAAAAGTGCCGTTACATTTCTCCTGGGTCGCTGGCTCCTGGCATGGGAGTCTGTGGAGCAACCCTGCCCTCTGCTGTTATAACGTTGATGTTGCTGCTGCATTTATGGACCCAAGCCTTTGATTTTAGTTTGCTTATTTGTCTAGTTTATCTCTAAGGAAACAGCCAGCCAGCAACTCATTAAGGCTAGCAGTTAAACAGGGGGCTGGGGCATGCCTGACAGAGGACAAACACCTGGGACTTCCTCTGCCCGCACAAGGGAGTCCAGCATGAACACAGAGTGGGACTCCTAGTATATAGCAGCAGTATGAGACCTTCAACATGCCTTAATACTGCTCTGTTCCTTGGGAAGAGAGAACGAAGATCCCAGAGAAAGCCCCACAGCTGCTGTTTAGTGCAGAGATGAAGAGGGGTAGGGTGGAGCCAGGGATAGACAACAGATATTTATTAAGCATTGTATTGGGAGTTTCGCTTAGATTATCTGATTCAACCCTTACAATAACCCTACAACCCTGTTTTACACGAAAACAGCAAGGTCCAGAAAAGTAGAACTTGCTCAGGGTCACATACATTTGAACTCAGGTCTCCCTGGCTCTGAAGAGGGTCCTCTTTCCACTGGTACTCCCCAGAAAGAATAATAGACTTGGAGTCAAAAGAGCTGGATTTGAGTCTTAGCTGAGCCAGGCTGGCTGTGTA